CTTAAAAATATTTTACAGTTGAGCAATGACAATAGAAGAGTATGAGGAAAATATATACTTGATAAATACTTGATAGATATATRCGGGAAAGAAAGAAAGAAAAWAGAAAAATAATAATAATTTGAGGTAAAGCATCTTATTATTAGATATTATTACTATATTTTGTTTGAACTATTACTTAAATAATTTTGAGATTTAACAATAGTAACCATTTTTTTCTTAAATAGTCAAATAAACTTAGTCGAACTTCTTTTTTGAAGCGAAATTTCAACAGTGATCATTTCAAAGAAACTGGGATTTGATTCCACAATCTTACGCCCACTCGAGAAAAGGAATCTCTTTGTAGATTTAATCTGGAAAATCTCGTATAAAGATTATTTTTTGTATAGAAGATCTGGTTTCATAATAATGAATCTCTTTGGTACTAGTAAAAAGCGATTTTAAGTTCCTAGGAGCACTGTCATTGATTATGTCATACATTAATTGTGATACAGAATCTATGTAAGACTGTTATTTGGAGGGTATTAGTCTCAATAAAGAAACTGGGAATAGCGCTCGAAACAATATTTCTACTACAYATCCCAGGAACAGGGTTATTTGTGAGGATATTGTCTATTAGAGTTGCTGAATTGCTGTAAACTCGAGTGGGTTTATCAATCGTAGGAAATAGATACCAGCTTTGTAGCAAGAGAAGAAAACTCTCAGAGAAATTGCATCTTTCAAATTTAAGTAAATCTAGGTTGAAATCTCCAAGGACATAAATATGTTTTCCTTTTGAGCTATACTTGTCTAAGGCATTATCAAAATAAGATAAAAAGRTATCAGGGGAATTATGCTGAATTTCAATCCACAGTGATTGCCTTTAAATGGAACTTAGGTTTCAGAGTACTGCAATGCTTCTACTGGAAAGGGCCAAAGATATCCACGCAAATCAAAGAAAAAGAAATGATGTCCAAGTAAAGAACAAAACATACGAAGATTATGACTGGATAGAGTTATCGTCATCTCTGTTAAAGAACGTGAAAAATATTTAACCTTCCATCAATTATCATTAAAAGTCTGAAGAAAGACAAAATTACTCGATTAATGGCGCACATCAGCTTTAACTAACGGCTCCAACATGCATTTATAGTATAACAGTACCCAAAATGACCAACAGCAAGAGGAAACAGAGATAAGAGAAGATAGTGAAGATGATGATAGTGAGGACAAAATACTTTCTGTCTTYRGAAGTAAATCAGAAGATGGTTCAAGATTCCCATGAAGAATTAAGTGTAAAAAAGTCTGATGAGATGAATGTGCCTTGGGTATATCAAGAATCAAGAATCCGCATTTACTTCTCGATCTGAAAGMCAGTGTAGGCTTAGTACGAGGTATAAAGACTGYCTTGCATAGGTACATATAAATTAATAAAAAATAAACCTTATTATCACATACTACACATATTGTCACATACAAGATACAAACGTCTATAGTTTTGTTGTGGGGGGGGGAGGTGGAAAATGTTTTATTTTTGATTGGGGGGTTGCTAATTTTTTCGTTAGTTGTAGACAGGGTGTTTTGAAACTTTTTTGGGAAATTAAAAATTTCACCTGCCCCCTCCCCCCATCCCCCTGCGGTATATACATTATGAACGCAGCCTTATTTGAATTTTGAAGATTTTGCAACTTTTAGATATCACGCTATTTTTAAAAATCAAGACCTCGTATCCACGACTCATAAGAATGCTAATGAGTTATCTTGTTAATGCTTATGTAACATCTACTGATTTTACATTTAAAGGTCCGCCAACTATGACATTTATAATTGATTTTGCCCAGTCTTGTAATCTAACTGTATTATCATTTCAAACAACAGTGACAGTGCCTTTTGAAGTCAATTTGAATTCCTATAATGAATAGAAGGGCATAACAGTAATGCGTACACCATTAATATACATTCTTACCTAGTAATGCGTACACCATTAATGTAGATTCTTACCGTAGAATTTTTTACGAAAAGTTTACTTTGAAATCGGAACTATTGTTTCAGTTTAAAAGTGCCCAAGTATTCCATTAGGACCACAAGGAAAATCCATATATATGTTTCATTTGCACACGTTATCATCATTTTATGTCAGTTAAGTAATGGATTACTACGTAAATTGAGCGCGGTTCTTGATCAATCASGGATTAATTTTTCCCGGCAGTTACCTTGTTTTAACTCATATGACCCTGTTATGTAACAATTTACAAATGTGTGGTACGTGCTGGTGTTTAATATCATAGGTCATGCAGGCGTCGACAACTATACAGTCAAGGGAACGCTCTGGCCACGGCTTGCCATTAGATGCAACGTAAGTAATATATTCCTTGATCCTAAATACTACAACATATTTTAACAAACTCAACCTAAAATACGGCTATGGCGAATAGTGAGTACATTTGCTTTCTGTGCTATACTATTTGCAAGAAGATCCAGGAAATCTGCCTACGGCACACATCAGTCTATCAATTCTATGAGGCATAAAATAATTATCAAAAACGCTTAAAAAGTACCGAAAAGTTATACAGAATAGTGCATTTGACTTTCCGTGTGCATAGGTAACCAGGTAAGCGTTTACAAGGATATTTAGTTTTTACGCAGTATGTAGGACTCCTATAGGTAGATCATTGTATACATACTTTGCTCATGAGCACTGGTTTCAAGTTTATAAAAACTGCGTACTAAGTTCATTACGGTCTACGGTCTACGATACTTTTTGCTCTTTGCTTTTTGCATTAGTGTCTTAGTGACATAATAGTGTTCAAAGATTACTGAGTGGCAAAACCATCTGGCACGGAAAGAAATTATTTTATTTAATTAGCTAAAATTTTCGAGGAAAGCTTATTGTGCMTTGTTCTTTCATTATTCAGTGCAGATTTGTTGTTATCGAGTAAAAACCATGACATGCCCGTGATGCTATGCTATTATGAAGTAAAAGTAAACCAGGGAGTCATGTGGCGAAATACAATCACTAAGTTCATTCTATATCYACAGAAATTGCACTTTATTACTATACATGGAGTCTATGATCGTCGCAGCGAAATAAGAACAGTCTAATAGCGATTGTTAGCAAATGAACCGCCTGTAAAATTTATATGCAAATAGAACACAAATTGTCTTGCACTTACTCCTTGATTATATAATCAAGCTTAACCGATGTATATCTCCTCGGAGGAATAGAAAACAAAAGGAAGCAGCCCATTCAGTMTGCTTCATGTAATCGAGCCYTAAAGCTGTGMTTACAAGTATCGGAAATCTTTTTTAAAACTCATTTTAAGGGCACTAAAACCATCATCGTTTTCTTTTAAAAGTATTCGGATACAAAGGGACTCGTGCGGGCATCGTCTTCGGTGGTTTCTTGAACTGAGCGATTGGTCTAAATGCATTATGAGTCTATCATATCGGGATTCAACGCAGGCTGTAGCAAACCATTTCACGGATACATTCAATGTAATATAGCCTATACTATACAGCGGATCTAAAGGAGGGGAGCGGGACGGATACATTCAATGTAATATAGCCTATACTACACAGCGGACCTAAAGGAGGGGAGCGGGGAGGGAAGGGGGCTTGCTGGTGGGAGGGAAAGAAATATCGCAGCCAATCAGATTTTTGCAGAAACGGTTCTTGAGTTGTGTTTCATTTTGTAGCCTTCGGTGGACCTGGAGTTGATTTCAATACTATACACAAGTCACAAATGTCCAAGGACTGCATTTTTATTCCTCTTCTCCGCAAAAGTCTTCCTACGTTTATAGACAGTGTTTTACTGTTATACTTTGAAGAGGAAATGCACAAATCAGTGATACCTTGGTGACAGGTGATCCACAGGTTTGACCAATCATATTGCTTTAATTCAGGAATAATAACAGAACAATCGGCTGCGACGAGTCCGTTTTAGGGACAGGGCATTAGATATTTGAGGGAAGAGGGAGTTGGTCAAGTGCCAAAACAAATCCGAATACAAACTGTTTGTGGGTATTTGGATGAAAAATACAGCGGCAAGCGTTTAAAATTCGAAAAATTACAAAGAAGGTATGAAGATTTGCAAATTGTTACTAGGGGTCTTACTCAGTGAGWACTCAACCAAATGTACTCAAATTTGAGTATAGCACTACTCGTAGTATGTGTTTCATGCGGCGAAGTTCAGTTACTTCGCCGCATGAAACACATACTACGAGTAGTGCTATACTCAAATTGAGTACATTTGGTTGAGTACTCACTGAGTAAGACCCCTAGTAACAATTTGCAAATCTTCATACCTTCTTTGTAATTTTTCGAATTTTAAACGCTTGCCGCTGTATTTTTCATCCAAATACCCTCAAACAGTTTGTATTCGGATTTGTTTTGGCAATATGTAGACGATTTTCATACTCGTTCCCAGTCTTCTCAGTTATTAAATTTCGTAAGGGCCAATTGCCTCTGGGCCAATTGCATCTTTCCAACATTCTACCATACTTTTTTCGCCCTCAAAACAACCAAAAATCGTTGCATTTCCAAATGTCCAAATTTTCAGCAAAAATGTTAAGATTTACAAAGTGTACGTATCTTTTAAAGAAAATATCTTGCTAGCCAATTGGGTATGGAAAAATATTCGTCGCTCACTTAAATACTAGCTTTAAAAAAGTAATTAATCATTGCTTCTGGGAGCGACCAAGGAGCCACAGCAGATAATCTCTGTGTTCCTGAGAATGGTGAGAGCGAGCATGTAGACAGAGATTGTCGGCCATTCGGTCTAACCGTCTCAAAATAAACTATGAGAATGGATAAGTTTCGACCCTTGATATAACCAGGATAAACGTTACTCTGACTGCATGATGAGGACTGATGAAGTTTTTTATTGTGTAACCTTTCTACTAATCCGACCGAGACATCTAACAATTTAGGGCAGAATTCGACCAAGAACTCATGCTGTCCATTGTTCGAATGCATGCCTCATTGAAAAAAGGCCCTGGTATATTAATTTGAAGTCTTTTTACCTAACTACAGAATATCATTCGTTAATTATGAAAATATTTGTATTGCTTGAAGTTTTGAAATAAGTCCATTTTCATGCAAGTAGCACTTTAATGTTGGTCACTATTTGCACGTCTGTCTTGTCTTTTTGGTAAGAATTTGTTTTTCTTCGGATATAAAATTGTTAATCTTGAAAAAGCCGTTACACCGATTTTTTTTTCTAAAATCAAATGACAGATATTTGTATTTCAGTATATAGGTTTGCTCAGGGAGGAAGATACCCTGCGTTTTACAATTCTAAGTAACAACTTAGTAACAGTAGCTTTAGTCAGAAATCCAGGTCCAAAGGCTTGGCTTGCAAGGTTCGGACACATGTATGAGATTTTCATTGCGTCGCGAGTTCGAGCCTCACAGAAATCCATCGTTATTGAAAATTHGTTGTCTTAAAAGTGCTTGTTTTTTTTAATTTTTCGACCGCTTTAAACGAGAAGGATCTGTCGTACGACTTCCGTATATCGTTTGAGTAAATCTGAATTTTTGTGATGTGCAACGGCATTCATAAATAACCACATGTACGTAGATATATGTGTACATRATATATATGGAAGTCGTAAGACAAACTTTACTCCTTTAAACATCAAATTTTCTACAGAAAACCTTAGAGAAAACAGAAGGAAAGAGAAAGAAGAAGTAGGAAAATATTTAAGAAATATAAAACGGCGCGCGTGTCTCTATCCTCTGATATGGGAGTTCGAAAAACACGAGAGAAGCAAGCTTAGGAACACGAGCGTAGCGAGTGTTTCTCTTGCTTCTCGAGTGTTTTTCAACTCCCAACGTGTTTATATCAGAGGACAGAGACACAAGCGGCCGTTTTATATTTATTCTATAAAATTTTTCGAGCGACAAGAAAATTTTGCCGATAATAAGCCGTGTCTCTGTCCTCTGATATAAACACGGTCGTCAGCCAATCAAAGCGCGCGTTATATATCAAAAATTTTATAAAACTATATAAAATATATATAAATATAATTTTGTGATGCGTGAATTTTGCAAAGTCAAAAGCTTCAATGATTAGCCTGGGAAGTCTGTGGTTTTTGTTGCGGTGAGACGTTTTCGTTAATCGATTTTTTTACACGTAAGCCGCTGAAAACGGAAGCGTCTAGACGCAGCGAAAAGGTGAGCAGTGCTCTTGACTTTGATAATTTTGAAACTCACGTTTCCTTTGCTGCTTCAGATGAGTGTCAACTGGACACCAGCACTTTTGAAAGAAATTCTTGAGAAGACCCGAAACGACACGTCGTTGGGCCTTTTAACAAAAAAGTTTGTTGACGTACTTCGTGAAGCTCCGGGAAAGTCGGTGGATTTAAACGTGGCCGCTGAACATCTTTCCGTGCAGAAAAGGCGAATTTACGATATCACGAATATTTTGGAAGGCATTGGGTTAGTGGAGAAAATTGCCAGGAACTTTATCAGATGGAGGTAAGTCTCTGTGTCTTAATTCTCTCAATAATAACTATGAACATTTCGTAGATGATAATAACTTTAACAATTCGCAGGCGGTTTTCCATTGTCTGTACTCTTATTGACAATGAAATTGACGTCAAAAATGCTCAAAACTCAAGTGGAACCACGAGCGTAAGCGAGTGGTTTCACTGCAAAGTTTTGAGCATTTTTGACGTCAATTTCATTGTCAATAAGAGTACAGACAATGGAAATCCGCCTGCGAATTGTTTTTTATCATAAAAAAGCTGAAAACAAAGTAAAACTTTAAAARCAAAACCGTTTCTAGCGCGCGCCGGCTCCGTGCGCGAGCGATTCGTTATTTCATCCGTCTGTCCTAGGATTGACAACGGCCCTCGACCAATCAGCGCGCGAGAATTCTACAAGTTATGGTAAAAATGAACATTTCGTAGAGTGTATACATATATACATATATAAGTAGAATGAAATAGAACAAAACACCAACTTGAAGCTATAAAAACTCTGTTTATTAGGACGTTTCGGCACTTCGGCCTTCTTCAGCAAACTGAGTGTTTTGCACGCGCCACTCTCTATAAATCCTAGCAACTATGGCGACCAAGTAACACAATCAACAAAGAAACTACGAAAACCTAACGGAAACCTAAGAAATGCGCGCTCATAAAAAGCGCGTACACAACCTGCCAAATCCGCGCGTAAAAGTCAAAAGCGCGCGCGGCGAAAGCCAAAAAAAAAAAAAACTAGACTCATGGCAACTGTAATTTTTGATCAATCGATGTCTTGATGCACAGTTTTGACCATTGATAATCACAGTAAGACTGAAGACGTTTTCTTCATGCGCATCTGCATGTCATGTGCATGTGGCCAAGGTCAAACATYAAACATATGCACGTGAAAAATACAAAGAAATGTATGGAGAACTAAATGAGTTTACTCACTACATAGATCAACTAAGTCCTTCAAAACTGGTATCTAACCTTTGCAATTGAAGATTCGTTTAAAATTGGAATTCAACGGGAATTATTTGACTTTGATTTCTCACTGCGGTATCCTTGTTGCCTATCCAAACAAAATGGTTTCAAAAGCGCTAACAGGCATTCATGCTTCGGGGGAGAGAAGAAATTCCATTCTTTTTATAGTCAAGCTTTCGTGAGATTTTAATGCCCAAAAATTGTGGTGTCAATCTGCGGGTAGTTACAAGTAAACGCTTAAAAATTTAATGAACTCGTCAATTGAAACCCGGCCTCCGGGACAAGCGGGACACTGAACGGGGACGCGAGGTGCTTTTCAATAACAGCGAGCGGAAACAAAACGTGATTGTCCCGCTATGATTTATAATCTATCATTCAGATTTTATTGGAGATTTTGGATTTTCGGATTGGATTTTCCTGTATAATTTTTTATTATTGTTATTCCTATTGTTAGTGAGCATTTTGTTTGTAGGACGATTTTACATAAGTGTTTTAACATGCAAATGAGTTGTTACATTCATAATTGTGTGCATTGAGCTTTGTGTATTTTTTGCATTAGGGCRTGTTAAATTAAAAGCAATTATTGCAAAATACTGATTTCAAGCTTGAAAAGTTAAACCACAAACGACATTATTGAAGGCTCTCATAAGTAAATATTGCTCTTCCCTGTGACTATACCTTCAAATAGATGATAGAGCGGATTTCGTATGAGTGGGACACCGTTACCGCACGGTTACCGCACAGTTACCGCACCTGGCCTGCAGAATTTTGGTGAATCAATGGTGCACTAGAATTTGGTTACAGTACGATTACGGACACAGTACAGTACCGTCCGTTTCCCACTCATACGAAATCCGCTCTATCTTATTCGTCGCGCGGCGTCATCGGGCTGCGAAGCACGCCGCTTGGAAGGGAAGAAGAGGTACGYACAGAGAAACAGACGGATAAAGATGCATTTGGCATGGCAAAAATTAAGTTCGGTAYTTGACCTCGGTATTTGATCCAGATGACTTGGTTACTTAACAAATTATAAAAAGACGCGAATAATAAAAATTGATCTTTAGTGAACAGTGAGGACCAGTATTTGAACTTCTGGARCTTGAACTCATTTGAAACGGTTTTTTGACCCAAAAAATAGATCTATCGKGTTACATTCTCTCAAGTTTGAAATTCAGGTACTTCCTGTATTATTTTTTTTTTCTATTTTTTATCATATCGAAAAAAACATCGTAGGATGTTCCATTTTCGAATTCAAAGCGAATAACCGCTGTTTTATTTGACAGCAGATTCTCTTAYGCAAAGACCTCACAAACGACAAAAGAAAGCGCGAGGAAATGCTGTTACAATAGTACAATAGTACAATAGCGCTAACAATTTACATTCTCCCTGAGTTGAGGCTAACCCTGTATTATTCCCATAAGGCTTAGGTCTTTTGGGAATACAGGGTTAGTCTCAACTTGGGGAAAATGCAAATTTTAAAGGCTATGAGGTAATAACGACATTTTCTCGTGCTCTCTTTTGTGTTTGATGAATCTGTTGTCAAATAAAGCAGCGTTGTTTCGCTGTKGATTAGAAACTTGAGTATTGGCCCTGGATTTTCCAAAATGGTGGCCACTAGCGGTAAACTGGTGTAAGCTGCGTCGGTATTTCTAAAGAAACAGTTACACCTACTTACAGAAACGTTGTCATAGATATTTTTGAATTTGATATATCTTAATTTAGTAAAAAGGAATAAATTAAAACAAGACAAAAGAAAGCGTTCTGTCTCAGTGATCTTCTTTTGTCTTTTTAATTTATTCCTTTTTTACTAAATACAATTTTTTTATGACAATGTTTTCGCATGTAGGTGTATGTAAAAAGAAATATTAAAAGGGTAGGTGAAATAACTTACTGACGTTTCGGAGGTTAATCCTTCGCCGGAGTAAAGAAATCAATCTAGGCTAAGTGTGGGTTTATATAATGAGAGGAGCAAAGAAAGTAGACCAATAGGAGCAAGGTGGGAATGGCAACGGGAAATAAACAAYAAAAGTTCTAAAAAGGATAACAAAAGATATTAAAATTATCGAAAAACAAATCGCTCATTCAACCCATTAGCAATGTTTTGCATGCAAATTAGTTTTGTGRGTAAAATAGTATGATAATGAAGTGCTCATGTGCCTACATGCTTTGAGAAAAACAAAAATCATCAAACATGCAAATATGATTTTTTTTAAGATTAAYATTTGACAAAATATAGATCTATAGGAAGTCAGCTCTTTTTCTAATTKATATATATTTGCGTAGACGTATTATTAAACGGTGAATTTTGACTGTTTCTCAGTGTATACGCATATTGCAATTTTTACTATTCATAACATCCTATAGGACTCATTA